ATGGAGTTTTTGGTGTCTTCTCTCCACTAGCTTCTTCTTCCAAATCTTTTTTTTCTAGAGTCTTCTCTCTCACCTCTTCTACCACCGAAACATCTCCTTGCAGATCATTTTTTTCAGGAGTCTCCTCTCCCAGCTCTTCTACCACTGGAGCATCTCTTTGCAGTTCAATAGTCTGCTCTCTTATCTCTTTATCTTTTTGCAGTTCAAAATCAAAATGAATAAATAAATATTCAGACTCAAATGAATATTTTATTCAATGAAATGAACATATGTAATAACGAAATGAACATGTTACCTGAATCTTGTGCTTGTTGTTGTCCATCAGTTGCAATTTCTTTCTGAATTTTTTCCCGTTCTTGCACCACAACATCATCCTCATCCACTTCCTTATTACTGTCTCCATCCCCATGTTCATTGAAAGTATCTGACAAAATAGATTAAATTCTTTCAAAAACAGAATGAATAACTAGATATTCAGACCCAATGAACATGTTATTCAATACAATGAACATATTAAAGAACAAAATGAACATGTTACCATTATCCTGTGCTTGTTGTCCATCAATTGCAAGTTCTTTCTGAATTCCTTCGCGTTCTTGCACCACAACATCATTCTCATCCACTTCCTTATTACTGTCTTCTCCATCCCCATATTCATTGAAAATATCTGACAAAATAGATTGAATTCCTTCACATTGAATTCCTTCACCGTCAGAATGAATATATTAATATTCAGACCAAAATGAATATGTCATTCAATAAAATGAACATATGTAAGAACGAAATGAACATGTTACCTGTATCAGGTGCTTCTTGATGTCCATCAGGTGCCATTTGAGTCTCAAATCCTTTATTTCTTTGCACACCATCATCCTCTTTCTCTTCCTCATTTTCTAACATAATGAACATGTTTAAGATAATGAATATATAATGCAATAAAATAAACATGTTCGAGAGAGAAATGAACATGTTACCTCCATTATGTTCTTGTTCTTGTTCATGTTCCTCTCGATCATTTGCCACTTCATTCTCAATTCCTTCTTGTTCTTGCACCAAAACATCATCCCCAACATCTACATGAATTGACTCCTCATCCTCATTTTCTAAATAATGAAATGAACATGTTAAATATGGAGATGAACATGCTTAAGAACATGTTTAAGATAATGAATATGTCATTCAATCAGATGAGCATGTATAAGAATGAAATGAACATGTTACCTGCATCTTGTTCCTTCTCCTGTCCATCAGAACCCATTTCACCATCAATTCCTTCATTTCTTTGCACATCAATAACATCTTGTGCAATTTTCATGAGAACTGATGCATGGTTCTGAAGTGCATGATGAATAATGAGGGCAGCACTGAAATCTGAGCTCCTTGCCATTTCACACACCTCTCGAACTTCAGACACAAATGGTGCTATATTTGTCATAGCCCTTTCAAACCTTTCGACCAAATCATCTTGTTGTTTCTTTTAAGGAAAAAAACTTGTATGAGATGAAGCTGTTATATTATAATATGAACATGATACATTATGATATGGACATTTTTATAATGAAATGAACATGTTGGTTAAAGGAATGAAGTTGTTGTATGAAGGGATGAACATGTTTCAGAATAAAGATCAACATGTTATATAATTTTTGTGAACATGTTTTATGATAAGATACACATGTTGTAGAAACTTATGAACAGAATTTACCTTGACCACATGTTCATCAGCTAATGTGGCTGCTTGATGCGCTCTATCTCCTGGTGGTTTGATGGGATCAAGAATTAACCCCATACCAAAACCCTGGCCACTCTGCTCTTCCTTAGCTCTCTTGGAAATTGCTTGATTTGTCCAATAAGCAATAGCAGGGAATTTCCGAGGC